GTGCCCAGCTGATGAGAATCAGCGGGGAGCATCTGCAGAAAGAGACAGGGAGCGAGAGAGGCGGTAGATCATAGGTCTTCTGCGGCCAATATATTAAATAAAATGAAGGAACCGTGGCGATTTATAAATACCCGGATGTTTCCTTTTGGCGAATCTTCTGAAGCACTGGTTAGACTGCAAGTCTATGGAGTAGTGAGACGGTATGTGCTGAAATGTGTGACTTACGCAAATACCGTTCATCCCATCTCAATAACACTGACAGCTGAATTCATGACAATTTTCTCTACGATTGTCATTTATTATACGTGTATAATGCTTAAGAATGGCATAATATCAGCACAAAAGCGGCAAGAGGATGAGCAAAAGCATTAGACCGGGGGAGTCACGTGACACATAGCTACCAATGGCATTGCACCCATGCATTGTCTATGGACAAATATAAATGTAGATTATAAAAAGAACCATAACAGATATCAAAATTTTGCACCATTAGTAGCTGAACGTCTCACGAGTTGAATAAAGTTGAAATGGCGCTTCTAGCCCAAGGCATGCCGGAGATATTAAGCTTCCAATTTTGCCCCATTCATTTCCAATGGGGAAATTTCTGTAAAAAAAGCTGAATATCTTAAAAAGTATAAAAGTTATAAAAAAGTTGTGTACAAGCACACATGTCCTTAAGGAGATACACAGTTTGATACCTCAATGGCCCTTCTAGGTGAAAGTATGCTGCACCAATTAGATGCCGATGAACGCAACCCAGCCCACACATTAGATAAGAGAAAGACATAGTGTGGATGCTACAGCATCCACACAATAAAGAACAGGATAACATAGTGTGGATTCTTCACAGCATCCACACAATAAAGAACAGGATAACATAGTATGGATGCTGAATCAGCATCCATACAATAACAGTAACTAGAATTACCATGTTGTGGTTGTATGCCTCCACCAACCAGTCAAATTCATGAGTATGAGGTAGAAGTGAGGTCACTGACCTTTGACCACCAAAAATTGAACGTATCTTTTAAAGATGAGAAAAGTGTCTTGTTGTAAAAAGAAAGGCTTCTCTTTGTAAGAGGATACTTTGCAGTTCTTTTTCTCATGGTGGAAGGTGGTTTTTGTGCATACCATAAAATATAATCCTTCTGGCACCAATGTCACTAAATGAGCCCTAAACAATTATGGTGTGGCCAAACGTGTACATGATCCCACCCCTAGTAGAAACGTGTACTGTGCTTATATATTGTCTGTGATTTGTTCCTATCCAATAGGAGCTGGTGAAGCACACTAATGATGTCACAGAGAAGAGTAATCTGCGGATAGCACTGGATGCCATGAAGGTACATCTCACATTAAAGAGCCCATGGCTGCTCATTTTGCTCCTTTCCAGCCATTTAATGTTTAATCTTGGGTTAGCCTAGCCTATCCTAGATTAGCCTGTCACCCCTCATAACTACAAATAGTGTGTAATTGTTTCACAATAATAAAACCAGAGCCTCTTCCTGAAAACAAAAGGATAGTTCATGAACGCACACACCTCCTGCTGCTGGTGTTGTGCTGCAAGTGAACAGCACAACAAACTGCGATGGCATTAATTAATGTGACTTTCTCCTCCATAGATAGGTAAACAACTGTATATGTACTGATGAAAAGAGATATCTAACAGTCTAAACAAAGCGGGTAACTGAGAAACCCCATATTTTAACTGGCATAATGCAGACAGAGTAACTTTTCCAGCCTTACAACAGTTCTCTCTAACGTTACAGAAACAAGGCAATAACAGACAGGCAACATGTTGGTTTTTTTTAACTTATGATTAAGTCCCACCAAGTAGTGGAAACATCACTTGCTTTCAAGTAGCTCCAAGGTCAGTAAATCCAGCCAGTGGTCGCTGTGTCTTCCCCAGACAACCAAATACTGTCCCAAAGTAGTGAAATTAATTCCAACAGGTAGTGTAGTACTGCCAATAACATCATGGATCATTAATCCATTGGATAACCAGCAACACATCACATGCAGCAGACATGGCCTCAAGCAGTCAAAACAAACAGGTACTGTGCTCAGGGGGAATCCAGCGTTGATGATCTGATCGTTCACCACCGCGGGGGCTTCACTGGCCGGCTGATTGTAGGTTAGACCTGGTCAGGTAAAACAGTGAGTCCCTGTACAGGAACATTCCTGGACGTGCAGTAACCTCAGGCCCTGTATTTTTTTCCACATCCTCTGGTCACAGTGCAGCAACAGGAGGGAAAATATATCCAGGAAACCGGGCACAGTCAAAAAATTCCGCCTTTACAATGGCACGGTGAATGTCCTTTTTTTTTTTTTTTTTTTTTTAGCTTTATTGAAAATACACACAACAAACATGGCAATATAATATTTCACCAGTATGGTGGATGTTAGGTAAGCTCACATGAACACGCAACTGCCCACTGGTTTTATGCCCCTTTAAGGAAGTCCTTAAATTATCGTGTAATACTTAATTTTGTGATTGAGTTTGTGAGACGCGTATATACTGAGTTACTTCTGCAAAGAAGTACTAGAACATACTATACGTTCACCTCATTTTTTGAGGTTTAGGTCATGACTAAGATGATAATTCATCGTTGTAACATTGTAAATAAATCAAATAACAAGGAAATGTGCCATGGGCTGTTTAACCAACAATCTTATACTGGTTGCTCTTATATCAGTTGTAATGAAGATACTTGAAAAACTGGTGAGGTCTGAAATCTTGAACAAGAGTGAGCATGCACTGGATCCTGTGCAGTTTTCTTACAGATCCCATAGAGGAGCAGAGGATGCCACAGCTACTTTACTTAACCTATTCGTTAAACACTTTGAGGGAAAGGGGTCTCATGTTAGAATGTTTTTTCATCTGCTGATAATCCAATCCAACCCCATATTTTGAATAGGTTTTTAGAACAGTTTGATCTTTTTAACAAACAGAACACAGATAGTGAGGGCTCCTCAGCAGGTTCTCCACAGGATGTGTGCTTTCACCCTTACTTCTCTTTTATACACCTGTGTTAAACAGGGCTGAAACGACTCCTCAAGTAACTCAATTACAAAAAATGATTGACAAAGTCTTTGCATCAAATAAAATCATACTGTGCTGAGGAGAAAAATAAAAATATTTAAAATCAGAAGACTTGAATCTCATAATTACTACTGCACTTTAGCTCCCATGCAAAATAACAGCATTTTCAAGATGCTGACAAGGAAAAACTTTTTCTGATTTGCTTACAGGACTTGGCTCAGTACGTTAACGAAGTCAAGCGAGACAACGAGACATTGCGAGAAATAGATCAATATCAAAAATCCATTGAGAACCTGGTAAGGTGTATGATTCTTCTGGAGAAGTTGATCTCAGCTTCACAACACTTTGGAAGTGACTCTTCTTCATGTGAGATCACAACCCATCTGTCTCTTTTTCTGCAGAATCAGCGTCTGATTAACTATGGTAGGCCCAAAGGTGATGGGGAAGTGCGGCTGGCCTCGGTGGACAAACGAGCTAAACAAGACAGGTGAGATGTCAGGTTGTCTAAAGGAGTGAGTGTCTAACTGCAGTTTAATTTGAATCAGGTTCCTGTGTTTGGAAAACTGCCAGAGAAAGTGCAATGTCAAGCCAGAGTGCTTATAGAAACTAAACCTTTCTATCCTGTAGTGTACCATATGTGCTGTGAATTACACTCAATCAAGCCTCTTGTCCAGAATAATAACTGACCAAAAGTTTTAACTGTTTTGCTTGTGTCTGCTACTACATATTGCAACTTTTTCATCACACAGAAAATGCATTTTTCCCTTTTAGGATTATACGGACCCAGCACCTGTCACAAACCTTACCTTACCTTACACCCCTTACCTTATGCTCATGTGAAGTCACTGTTCGGTCTGTTCTTTTTCCTCGCTCCTTCACTGGGATGGTGGAGGCTGGCATGGAGTGGCACAGCTGAGGCTAATTAGTCCCACCTGCTCTGATGGTATTTAGCTGGCGCTCGGCTGTGTTATCCTTGCCAGTCAGCTTCTCTCGCCATGTTCAGGCTGTCGACAAGGAAAGGATATCTCACCTGAGTCCTGTTTCTTGTTCCTACTTGGTTTTGCTTCTGACAATGCCACTCAGCTGTTTCTGTGTCTGTTGCTTGCCTGTGTTACACATTCCTGCCTGTTCTGCTCCTGATGGAGCCATTACGCGGTGTGGGTCCCTCTCAGTCCTATGTGAACCAGACACCTCTGGTCCGGTGGCCATCTCACCTGTTCTTCCTCGCTGCCCCTGAACCAGCTATTCTTCTGCTCACCTGCAAACTTGACACGGCACCACTTTGGCACACCTGCCATAACAGCTCATGCTTGAGCTTGAGGCTGTTCACATGTGTAAAGCCAACACCAGAACTGGAGGAGCAGGCTTTTCTTATGACCACATTATGCTAAAAATGTCCAGAACCTTGGTAAAGGTCCAAATTCAACAAGTAACAATGGTGTTTAATTATGACTACACAGTCTGTTGAAACCTTGATTCATAGTGTATCATAAATCATATTTATAGCTATTACTAACAGTGGTTCCCAAACGTTTTCATCTCAAGACCCAAAAAAGAAATTTGTCTCTCTCATAACCCAAACTTAGAAAACTACTTAGAAAAATACACCACAAACTGCTACAACATCTGTATTTTGTCATCTACTGATAACAAATACAGCAAACCCTGAATTTAAAATGTAGTTTATAGGCTATGAAATATATTTATTCCACTATAAAAGTACAACTCAGCAACTCACGTTGAGCGGAACCATTTGAGGTGGCTCGGGCACCTGTTTAGGATGCCCCTGGACGCCTCCCTGGGGAGGTATTCCGGGCATGTCCCTCGGGGCAGACCCAGGATATGTTGGAGAGACTATGTCTCCCGGCTGGCCTGGGAACGCCTTGGGGTTCCTCCTGAGGAGCTAGAGGAGGGGTGTGGGGAGAGGGAAGTCTGGGAGGCTCTGCTCAGGCTACTGCCTCTGCAAACCAGTAACAGATGAAGCAGATGAAGATGGTTGGATGGATGGATGGATGGATGAACTCAGCAATAATGAAATTTCTGAGAGTAATGTTAAACTTTGCACTGCCTTATAAACACATAGTTTGGACTGCTGTCAAATTATATTCATTACTCATTGCTTCTTTGCTCATCATGTTTATAGTTTATAGTCCTTTAGCTACTTTTCCATACCAGGTCCGTTTTCATTTTCTCTCACGTCTTTTCTACACCGTGAGCTTTCCATCTCTCCAGGTTTTATTTGCTGCCACATCTACTTTGCAGGTATGAAGGCAACAAGCTCTCACGGCTGTTAAGGCTGTGCCAGCAGCTGGCCTGTTGGATATCTGTAGGACTGTAGGTTGTATAATGTCTAAGTGGTTTGGTAGAAAAACCTATTGGGCCACAGGAAAACTCCACAAACTTCAGTGCCTGCTGAGATGTGGTTGGGCAGAGAGAGAGAGAGAAAGAGAGAGAGAGCCTTGCACACAGTATCTGAGCTTCTATTTTGATTTGGAGAAGAACTCGCTTATCACACATGTATCATTGTTATGTAGTTCACTCTGGCAACTGGCACCCAATGAAAATGGGTCTGCGACCCTAAGTTTGGGGTGGGCTGGTTAGAGGACAGAGTGATTTCCAGAGTAACATGGATATATTAACTGCTGCATCAAGTTTGCTTTAACATCTTCCTGTTTGAACCGCAGGCACATCTTCCTGTTTGATGCTGCAGTGATTGTGTGCAAGCGGCGGGGAGACAACTATGAGATGAAAGAAATAATTGACCTGCATCTTTTCAAGGTCACCAACAACCTGACATCAGACAAGGAGATTCGAAAGGTCTGAACACCAAATTCTTTTTTCTGTATTCTGGTATCTGTAATGGATGTGGTTGTATCAGATCATATACCCTTCCCACCAATGCAGGAGCCTTACCAATTAAAGTCATCACTGTGAACTGATCTGCACTTTGGACTGGAGTTTAACATACTGTAGCTGACAATAGCAACCACAAGTTGTAACAGACAAAACAAGAAATACATAGAACAAAGGAATAAAGGGAGTGGCCACATAAACCAGTACAGTATCTTGGAGCCATAATAGCATGGAACTAGCATCTCTGCAGCCATCTTCAGTTATACCTATTGGTTACACCTGTTTTTTACAGGTCAAAATGATCATTGTACAGTTTAAATAATTATTAGCAGCATTTTGTGCACAGAAGAGTGAGTATGTTTGTCACATCATGGTGTTTCTAACATATTGTAGAAGCATGAAAAGGAAATTCAGGGAATAGCTAAAAACGTTTTGCATAATGTGTCCCATCACTGAAGTAGAAGACGTTACAGCACTCATCCAGATTCTGTTATGGAAAGTTATGGAACATTCATAGCAGGTTTGGATCATGGATGTCTCCCAGGTGAATTCCCATTCCAGGGTTTCAAGCTTTAGATCTGGTTGTGACCATGGAAAAGATATTGGCACTTCTCTTTTTTGAAAATTCCTTTTTTGGTTCCATAAGAATTAGTCTTTCAGTGTTGATATTTTACCTCAGACATGCATGAAATATTAGCTTCAATTAAAATCAAGCTAAAAAGAAACAAAGGAGTTTTTGAAGCTCACTTCTTTATTGTTCTTCACTTTGATGAAAGCAGACCTTGATTTTAATCCAATGAACAAACAGTGCCATTACTTCTGCAGTTAACACATCTTAGTTTAGATACATCACAGCTGAGAGGATCCCCCCTCTAATTTTTTAAACCTATAATAAGGATGCTTTGACTTTTTGAATCTGATTGGGGGAATTCCTTAGAATCCACACTAATTCATTCACTTGCCAAAAAAAGAAAAATGATCTTGAACATTTATCTTTTAATTTAAAATGTGATAACCAGTTTCAAAAAGCAAAAGTCCACTTGAAGCTTTGCTTTGATTTTATAACAACTAATGCAGTTTTTTCGTGACAGGTCTAGACTACGTGCAGGCCAGTTCATCACCCAGACTCTTATTGTGGAGTCGTGCTGTTGGTTCATGTGCAGAATGTGGTTTGGCTTTGTTTTACTGAAAGAAATAGCGCCTTCCCTGACAAAGACGTAATCAGGACAGCAGCATATCTCACTCCAAACCTGTATAAAAACATTAATGGTGCCTTCACAGATGTTCAAGTTAGCCATGCTGTATGCACTAAGGCAGAGTTTCAGATTTTGACTTGTCGACCCCAAGGACAGTTTTCCACTTCTCCTCAGTTCGTCTGAAATGATTCGGAGAAGATGGTGGTGTGTCCGGATCTTGTTTATATGTTTTTCTTTGCATGGTAGAGTTGTACCTTTTGTGGATGCAGCGACGAACTGTGTTCACTGACAGTGGTTTTCAGAGGTGTTCCTGAGCCCGCACAGCCAGCCCACTACAGCATTGTGTCTGTTTTAGAACCGCATCCTCTGAGGGTCAGAATATCACGGCCATTCAGTATTGGGTTCAGTGTTGTCCCTTGTCTCTGAATCTTTTAATGATACTAGGTATCGTAGATGATGAAAGCCCCAGATTGTGGCAGTTTTACATTGAGAAACATTTATCATAAATTGCTGAACCATTTGCCACATAGTGGTGAACTTCACCCCATCCTGATGCTGACCTGCTGCCAGTTAACCTCAGTAGCTGTGAGGTGTCCCATAAGGGGGGTTTTAGTTAGCATTGCACCACTTTTTCAGTCTTTAGTTGCCCTTGTCACAACGTTTTGCAACATGTTGCTGGTATCAAATTCAGAATAAGCATACCAAAACCAAAATATATGAATTTGAACATTAGATATCTTATGTTTGTTCTGTTACCAAGTTAATATGGGGTTAAAGTTTTTTTTTTCTCAATTTACACTGCATCCCCACTGTTTTGGAATTGAGGTTGTAGCATTAGAACAATGTAGAGGCATATTCTACTTCACTTTGACAGTTTTGTGATTGCTGTCCTGTGTAGCATGTAAAAATGACTAAAAAAAATAACAGACCTTACTTAAAAAGAACATAACAAGCATCTCACAACATCCATTCAACTCTACTAGAGGAACTCTTGCACTGCTGAGTTCATCATTTCCTCTTTATGACTGAGTCAGCAAAGCTTAGAAATCATGTTGGTCTCCTGACTAATCAATGAGCGGCATTACTTCAGCTAGCAGCCTTGCACCGCCACTGCCTTTGGTTCTCTGTATCCCCTATACTAAAGTGAAGCTCAAAACACCAACAGAAAAGACATACATTATTAGGTCAATGTTTGTTTCAGCATATCTTATATTGGCTACTTCATTACCAGCATCACACTGGAGCAGTGCCAGACTGGAGCAGTGTGCCACCTTCCATACGCTGCAGTCATTAATTCTCGTTTTGAGCCTGACTACACAGATAGCGAATAGTAACCGTCAACTGGTGATAAATATTGCCAGTCACAATGAGAATAATATATAGGGCACCCAGAAAACAACTGATTGGCCCATAATGACTTTGTATATATTTAGCAGGTAGTTGTCTACAGTCAGCATAGAACGATCCTTTTGTTAATGAACGTTGCAGCCACATCAGTTTGTTCATTCATCTCTGACATGATGGATGTGGAGCTGGTTGTGGAGATGTGACATGATGGAGGTGGATTACATACTGTACAGGATTTGTTATGGAAATGCAAAATGACAGAATCGCTGTCTGAAGGAAGCAGATACAGTGAAAGAGCCATCATTAAAGAAACAAAATAATCACACAAGCATCAGTGTCATCTGGAGATAAATCTACAGTATATGTAGTGCTAATATGTAAAATATCCTTATTTTCCATGGTTCTCTGCCCCATATTTGTATGTACAGAGAACAAAGGTTTGAAGTTGGTCTAATGTAATGTTCACCTCTGATGCTCCTACCTCTTCATTACTTTCCTCGTCATCATGCAAACTGCTTAAATAAGTTCATTTTACATGCTTGGTGGTGACTGTCTGGCACTTGGTCAGTTTGAAGCATGTGCTGTCAAACAAAGAATCTGTGGCTGGCAACACAGAAAAAGAAAAAAGCTTTGTAGGTTGATACAAAAAGAACTGACTTACAGCATTTAAGCAGCCTGCTGCCTATGATGATGAGACAGCCAGAACCACAGCTCCAAGTGAATGTTAATGTTGCTCAGTGTCTGCTGGATGTGTAAATAGACAGCTGTGTATTAACAAGCTCATCGTGCCACCTTGATAACACAACACAGCTTGTTTCTGTACTCTGAAAACCTAAACTGACATAGAGAGAGACAAATGCCTCCTGCTTCTTTTTACAAACCACAGGAACTAGACAATAGCTTTAATAAGTGATGTCTTGGTGTCTGCTGGGAATGCCTCCGCAGAGCACTGCTTTCCATTTCTCTCTTCTTTCAGAAGCTTTGCTGACAGCACTGAGCTTGGTAGTGTTTTAGCTTTCAGAGCTAAGTGCTAGAAGTTCAAAACCACAGCTAGGAACCATAAAAAGTAGATCCCACAAGCATCTGTTTAGCAGTCCTCTCTAACATCAGAGGCTACCAGACTACTACTTAGCCTTAGAGCCTGATTACAGGACCACTCACTACTTGGGAATGTACATGCTGTCTGATGCACAGCAGTTATATTGCATAGCTACTCTATGTCATGCTCATTTCCTTCTCCCCTATATTGTCTCTGTCTGTCAGTTCTGCTGCCCTCCAGCCCTCTGTTCTCCCCCAAGGCCTCTCTCTTTCATTTTGCATCTCTGTCTCATTTAGCTGCTTCATTTGTCTTTCACTCAAACCCTTTAATTGATTTATGTACCATTGTTATTGTATTTTATGTCACAAATGTGTGTGTTTTTCTTTCTTGCTGCAGTGGTCCTATGGATTCTACCTCACTCATAACAAGGGTCAGAGTGGCTTTGAATTGTTCTTCAAGACCAAAGAATTGAAAAAGAAATGGCTGGAGCAGTTTGGCATGGCCATGTGAGTGTGTGTCTTTTTCCACAGCATCCCACAACACAGTACCCATTCTGTTTTTCAAGCTGGGCCACTTATGCTGTGTTTCTACTATCAGAACCTAACGAGCGGTAAGCACCGTACTTGCCTTAACTATCACCAAGCATAGCCTCCGGGGCTGGCGCGGACTGTCCAGTTCATCTGTTTTGTTCGCTAGTGAATGGAGATTTGCTAGACAGGAGCAGTGTCCAGGGACCTTGCTGCCGTTGCTTCTCCAGGTCCCATAGA